GTAGGTGAGGTTCCTGACGAGCCCCAGCTCCAGCATCCGCTTGATGGCCACGGCCTCGTGCGAGACGTTGTGCTCCGACGCCTGTGGGACGGGGAGCAGGGCGTGACGTGGCGTGGTTTCCCTCCATCCCCACCACCCCAGGACCTCCACCTCATCCACCCCACCAGCGTGGACCCTCCAACCTTCACCTCAAGCGAGGAGCCCCCCAAAAGGAGAGACAGGACTATGCCCAAGCCCCCCCAGCTCGCACGCAGACACCCAACTCTCCCCCGCGCCCACAGAGACCTTGGGCCACGGGGAGAAGGTGGTGAGGACCACCTCAAGGTGGCCCTCAGCGCCCATGGGGGGAAGGGGAGCTAGGGCAAGACGCTTACCGCCATGGACTTGAGCGTGATCTGCTCGTAGTAGTGAATGGTCTGCTTCTTGTCGGCCGAGTCGGGGTAGCCGAAGCCCGCGATGTGCACCAGGTCACAGAAGTGGAGCGCCAAGGTGATGGCCAACAACCCTTCTGTAGGAGAAGACGTGCAGAGAGCCGCAGGGGGGGACGTCGTCCCTCAGAGAGGGGGGTGCAGGGCGCCCGGGAACCCCCAACCCCTTACCTGCTTGACCTTCCGTGGTTGCTTCATGGAGAGGTTGAGCAGCTTAGCAGCGGTTACCTCCATGTAGTAAGGGTTGAGGATGCGCACGTGCTCCGGGTTGGCGTCCCAGATCAACGGGGGCTGTTTCCAAAACCCCTTCCGCACCTACGAGAGGATGGAGATGGCCAACAGCACCCCGGTAAGAGAGGCAGGACCCCAAGGGTGGGCCCCTGTCCCCCACCACCGTTACCCTCTTCTTGTCGTTGAGGATGGCCTCCATCCACTGGAAGTCCACGGGCTTGAAGGGCACCAGCACCAGCAAGGTGTCGGGGTTGTTCTCCGCCCTGGGGTCGAAGTGGGCCGACTCGGGGTAGAAGAGGCGCATGGTGGTCTTGGAGCCCACGTCCTGCTCATAGCCGTGGACCGGGGCGTTGTTCAACCTTGGGAGGAGGAGGAGGAGGAGGAGGGTGGGGGGGTCAAGGCCGCACGCAGCCGGCAGCGGGGAGGGCTCAGCGGGGCGCGCCGTTACCTGATCACCACGTCGTAGGTGTCGATGGTCTCCCCCATGGAGCTGTTGCGGAGCCGGTGGCCGTTGGC